AGGGGAAATTTTGTCAAGTAGTACTATCATTTCTGCCTGTGATCTATTTTTATGTATATTGATTTGTTTACTCTTGATTTGTATCATATTCAGGAAGAAAAACTTGGAAGTTTTTTAGGTCTTTTATTGTGATCCAATATAATATTTTATGTATCATCTTAGCCTTTCATAAATGTACAATTCAGGGGCATTAAATACTTATACAATGTTGTGTAACTGTCACTGCATCTATATCCATAACTTTTTTTCTTACTATTATCCCCAACAAAATCTCTGTGCCAATTAAATAATAAATCTTTTCTTCCCTACTTCTAGGCCCTGGTACTCTCTATTTTACTTTCTGTCTTTATGAATTTGCCTATTCTAATTACCTCATATACGTGGACTCATATAACATGTTATTTCTGGATAATTTTACCAAGCATAATGTTTTTGTATTAATATTTTTCATGTATTAACTTGAGGGAGAGAGAGAAAGGGAGAGGGAGAGAGAGAAAAACATCGATGAGAGAGAACATCAACTGGCCACCTCCTGCATGCCCCCCACTGGGGACCAGGCCCACAACCTGGACATGTGCCCTGACCGGGAATCAAACCAGTGACCTCTTGGTGCATGGGTCGATGCTCAATCAGTGAGCCACACCAGCCAGGCTAAACATAATATTTTCAAAGTCCATCTATATCAGAATTTTATTCCTTTTTATGGTTTAATACTATTCCACTGTATATGTATACTATATTTTGTTCATCCATTCATCTATTGATGGACACTTGGGTTATTTTACCTTTTAGTCATTATGAGTAATACTGTTATAAACATCAGTATACAAACATCTGTTCAAGTGCTTTCAGTTATTTTGGATATATGTTTAGGAATGCAATTACTGGGTCATACGATAGTTCTGTGTTTTAAAAAGTAGATTCTAACTTTTGTAGCAACCCCAAGAAAGACCAACTTCTCTTTACCTGGATATGTTTTTAGCATTTTAAAACAGCTATTTTTGTCCCTCCGGTCCCTTCTTTTGTCTAAGCTAAAAGTGATATAACTTTTTTGGTGGGAACCTAAATGTAAACTCATATCAACCTCTGCTACACTTGACTTTATTACTTTTATCAATTAGTTAATTCTATGGAGATATCCAAATATTTCTGGGATCCAATTCATTAGCCACTGCTCCCAAGTTTATGTCTTCCTGCCTTTTAAAATATACTTAGAAAACACTTAAGGATTATCAAAGCAGAAGTCATCTTTCTTTTCAGCTCATGAATAATCAAAAAGAGATGGTGAAGATATAATTATTCTGTCTCTTTTTGAAATTTCTCATGTGGATTCATTAGAAGTATTTAAATTTTATTTTATTAAATGTTAGAAAAAAAGTATTCTTGAGATGGTGTTAGTTGACTTGAATATCATATCATAATGCAGAATGTCCTTGCACATAAAGTGTCCTTGAATGGGTAGCTCAATAATCTTATGCTCCTGCATTGCATTAAAAAAAAAAAGAGTTTAATTAAAGGGTAGAATTTCTGGCTGAGTGTTTCTTATACATATATTGAAGAAGAACATTTTCTTTGGGAAATTATGTGAAATTTTCTTTTTTTTTTTGTCACCCGGGGAAATTTTCAAACTTGCTGAAGATTTAAGTGGTACAGGGTTCATAGTATGGTTGCTCTCATTTCTGAAAGAATTGTATTCCAGTTACTTTTTTGACTCTTTCAATTTTACCTTATTTATTCATAATATTGTTAAAAACCTTAACAGAATAACTGTTTTGAGACTAGCATATGTCTTTGGTTTATAAGGTGTTGCAGCTCTTAAGTATCATATGTAGCAACTTGACAAATCACTAATCTCACCACAATTAGCAAGTGGTTTACATTTGCAGAACTATGACCAGCTTAAAAACGAAGAATGAACAGTGCCTATGGGGGAAATGTTGCAGTCACTCAGAGAAGTACATCTTGGCTGTGTCGTTTCATCACAAAGTACCTACTCTGATTTGGGATAAGATTAGTCATGCTGTGATCATTTTTAGTAAAAAGATTATGAGCAAAGTGACTAATAAAGTGACCCTTTCACCGTGCTAATAGAATTCAACTTGAATTTCCCGTTTCAGCTATCCCCTGAGAACTAAATTACTGTTGGAGTCTGAATCAAGTTTGATCTTTCTTTCTCCACAGAACAGCCCAGTGATTAATATATGCAGCACACGCATGCGCGTGCTTGCACACACACACACACACACACACACACACACACACAGTTAGGACAAATCTATTTTGTTGGTTGGAATGAAAGACAGAATATTCAGTACTTTGCATTGTACCTTTCTCCTCTCTCCCTCTGTTTCTATCCCCATAATCCCATAATTGCTACTATTTTCAATTCTAAAGTCAGCTGAAGAAATAAGAAACAACAACAATATAAGGTGAAATGGTAATTCTTTTACTTATTTCTCTCATTGTGAATAGCTAAGAGCACTGTTGATCAATTTCTATAGCTTGTTTTGCAAGCAATTAACTGTCTTTACTAAATATCCTCTAAATCAGTGATTTTCAACCAGTGTGCCACAGGAATGTTTAAAGTTTGCCATACCTGACTATTTAGTCAGGGCCACTGACCTCTTTTTCCTTAGATTTTCAAAGAGAAAAAATGACAACAGCCAACACAATAATAGCCATCCAGTGTGAATGACTCAAAATTATACCTATTTATTTATTTGTCAGATTAGCAAAACATACAGGTTTTTGGTGTGCCGCAGAACTTTTAGTAATTCGATTATGTGTGCCATGAGATGAAAAAGGTTGAAAATCACTGCTCTAAATTATGGTTAAAGCACTATTTTCATGGAAAGAACTGCAGTAACATATTTTGGGTATTTGTGTAGTCTCTGCTTTCTTCCTCCACCCCTCCAACTAGAGCCACTGAAACTTAGCCAGCATGTCTATTAGCTAAATGTTGGATTAAAAGTATTTGTTAAAAATAGTTTTGCTTCTTTGTGAAAATGGGAGAAATTGGGACAGATCAAGATTAAGTGGCCCTGGAGAGCAGGGCTAGTTAGTCAAACAGAAAGCTGGAGCGGAGCTGGTTTCCTGCACTGCTCTTAGCAAAGAGAACAATTTTAATCACTTACAAAAATATTTGTGATCCATATGTTACTCTCTGCTCATTCCCATATGCCCATCTTCGCTTTTATCTCGGTAGATGATGACTTTATGATTCAGGCATGCAAGAATAATACCTCGCTGGCTTCAGGGCTCAGTGCTATTTCAAAACGTGTCCTGGTAATTACGCACACACAGAAAACCAGGCTGTTCGCGCCTTGAGTTGGTTAAGTGGATATCAGTTTGTTCTTTCTCTTTCTTCATGGGAAGAAGTATATCTTGCATCCACCTACTGGGACTGGAATAATGCAACTCGATTTGCGTTTGAAAACTGCATTGCCATCCACGTGTTGGATGAAAGGCCACCGTACGAATATGAGGACCAGAGAAAGGAGGCAGAAAGGTGGCAATGACCGTTGAGAAGTTCATTTTCTTGGGGAAAAGGAAACAGAATTCAAAAAGCACTTGGAAATTCCATCCGTAACCAGTGCCTATTCTAAGACATATTAGATAATGGATGGTTATTTAGATAGAGTCTAATTTTAAGCCAAGTTGACTTCTATTTAATTTGAGTGTTCGTCATAGTAGCCATGGTGAAGCTGGTTAAAACCGAAAATGTAAAATTACTATTGATGAACGATTCATTTTAGTCCTAAATGCGTGTTTGCTCATCTCTCAATACGCTGTATAATTTCTAACAACCAAAGAAACATTTCAGACCCAAATTATCCGTTTTAACGAAAAACATAAATAGAACTAGACATGATTGACAGTGGAAGTGACTGCATTTTCAAAAGTTGTTTTTCTCTTGCCCAACAAATGGCGTTGTAACCCAATATGTTGTTAGCATAGCCACATTAAAATCCGGTGAGGAACCAGCTGTGCTCATTGAAACCTAGGAGGGGGGCCACCAGGGGGAGGCAGAGAGGGTTGCTGAACTTCAGACTAAATAACTGAGATGCACTTATTGTTCTCCAAGATGGATATACGATGCAAGAGGTGGGCATGCCGTCGGGTTTAGCAGGTGTGCCACAGAGTCGACTTGCACGGAAAAGAGAGAGACAGAGCTGGGTTTTGGCAAATGTTATTAAGGCTCCGTCTCTGTTTGTATTCAAGCTGTCTTTGCCTCTGCTCTTGTAGGAGTGGTGAGAAGAAGAAAGTGCACATTGTAGCATGGATTGTTTTCAACAGGCTCCAAGTTTGCAAGTCTGTTGAATCCCTCTGACAGCGTGTCTTTGCTGTCAAACAGAATGCCCAGCTGGTGGTGGCAATCCTGCCGGGGAGGGAGGGGTCCGGGGAGACTGTTCACCGCGCAACACGAATGGAGAGAGCTCTCTCAACCTTGCCGCTGTAAACCTGCTCTTTTTGTACTTGGCCGTAGAGACAGCAAATCGAGATCTTTACATACACTGCATTAGGATCACTTTCAGAAAGAAAGGAGTCACACAAGGAACGTGAAGGTACATTATGTGAGTCTGTAATTAAGACAAAGGCTTTGGTTTGAAAAGGAGGCAAGACTTTGGCTCCCAGGTGATCTGGATTCTCATTGAGGCAAACACACAAGCTTGTCTTTGTTTCTTTTTCTTTTTTTTTTTTTAAATATAAAGTGAGAGATTTCACTAAAAAAGGTTAAAATTGAAGTGAGTAATCTTCAGTGCATAATGCAATTGTTAATTTTAGCTCCTTGCGTGGGAGCCATTCTGACTTGAACAGCCGGCTGTAGCCTTCATTAGAGAAGAAGCAGGCAGCTTGAGACAGGTGGAGCTGGATCAAGCTTTGAACGTGATTTTGCTGGAAGCTGGTCATTAGTGTTAGAAACCCGGTCTTATTTCTTTCGTCCTTCACCCTACCATGATTATTGCCATTCTTACCACTGACTTTTCATCTTTTTTCAGGTTGACGATGTGTCAAACTGTGTAAGGGACTCGCATGGACATGGGCAATCCGAACTGTTAATGGGGACATGGGACTCCAGTTGCCTCTGATCTCTTGTGTGGATTTTCCCGGTGTGGGACGACAGAAGCCACTGGTGAAGTCGCCGACACCTACAGCAGAAACTCTGCGCAAAAGGTAAAAGTCTTGCTGTCTGCCTGTCGTCTCCTCTGTGTTTTTCTTCTTTATTGCTACAGACATGTGCCTGTTTGCATAGAACAGTTCGTTAACCGTAAATGAAACAGAAAAGACCCGTATTAGGGGCTCCACTGGCTTCTCACTTATCAAATTGAACTCAGTTTGCTCGGTCCGTTTTCCATTTGAAATTTGGCCAGGATCCGTTTTGATTGAAAGGCTCTGAAGAAAAGTTAAGGCCACTGAAGTCCCATCTTCTCCCCCACCCACTGCCCTGAGAAACAAGCTGTTTGCCATGGGGAGACCGAGCTTGTTATTCTGTTAACCCCATCAACACCCAGTGTCACAGGAGGAAGAGGAATCTGTCACAGTACACTGGGTGGAAGAGCCGGAAACCTCCCCAGACCTACAGCATTGCTCACTGATCACTCACAGACCCGAACCACCAGCCTTGCAGAAAACGTTCCCCTTTCGTTCCCACAATCCTTTGCCGAGCGAGCCTGTGTTTTTTAAAGACATCATTAGCTACCATCTGTCCTGTCATGGTGGATCTTGGCACATTTGCAGCAGAAATCGCTGTAGCTTTTTCTCATATTTCCTATATCCAGTTGGAAATCGACGTACTGAATTGGCAAATGGCAATTAAATGCTCCCAAAGAAACATATTGCAACACTGATTTGTCCAGTAATAATCACCCCTGGAATGACTGGGAGCAGAACAGTCGTTGCCTGGGAATTTTTGTGGGAACGACTGACTTTCTAGGCTACAATGTCTTTTTCTTTTTCTTTTTCCTCCCTTCCTCCCACCTCTCTGCCTCTCTCTCTCTCTCTCTCCCTCCCTCCCTCTCCGTTCTTCCCTCCTTTCCCCCCTCATAACTTAAAAAAAGAAACGGGGGAGAAAGTAAGTGCTAAATTATTCATGAGCCTCATTTGACAGCCCCTCGGAAGGGAAAGTGTTAGGGGCCCAAGAAAAATAAGTCAATAACGAGCAAGCTTGGACTCTGAAAAGCCTCTCTGGTCTGTGCGGTCGGTCTATTGAGAGCGTCCTCCGCGCTGCTGCCAGGCTCGTTCCGCAGGATCTGTGCACCGCAGTCGCGGCAGGGCTTGTGCTTTGAACCACGCCTCGGTCTGTTTGCAGCCTGAAGGGTCTATTGCCCAGTTTCGATCCTACATTTATGCTGAACTATTGCCTCTTAAATTGGCGTTGACCCCTTGAGTGCACTGTGTTCCTCGTACCTAGAAAAGCACGTCTGTGGTTAAAACTTGCAAATAATTTTTGAGTCATCCTTAAGGCGCTGCAGAACACCAGTCCCACCTCCTGACTGGGAGGTGCAGGGTCCTATCTGTGCATGAATTGGAGAAATACTCTTTGTTTTTCTTCTACTTTGTAGCGGGGCACAGGGAAGGCTAGATGTGTGGAAGTATATGTCTCTGTTTATGTGCTTACCTATTTTTTGTTTGTTTGTTAATCCTCACCCGAGGATATTTTTCCATTGATTTTTAGATAGAGTGGAAGGGAAGGAGGGAGGGAGGGAAAGGGAGAGAGAGAGAGAGAGAGAGAGAGAGATGCTAGAGAAATACATCAATTGGTTGCCTCATGCACAATCCCCATCCAGGGCCAGGGATCGAACCTGCAACCCAGGTATGTGTCCTTGACCGGGAATTGAACTCTCAAACCTTTGGTCTGAGGGCCGATGCTCTAACAGCTGAACCAAACCAGCCACGTCTATTTACCTATTTTGAGGGCAAGCTGTATTCACAAGTGTTTGTGTTTGTGGGGGCAACCAAATCTGCCTCTTGTGTTTGCCTTGGGTACTGGATGTGATTTTATTTTATTCTCCTTCCAAATAATATTGGCTGGGATGCCTGAGCTGCTCATTTGAATTTGCATATAAAAGGAGAAATGAAATATCTTAAAAATACTGGTAAATACTTCACCTGGCTCAGCTCTAACTTTATGTTCTGTCCTGGTAATCTTGTAGGGTATCCAACTTTGCTATTTTAATTTGCATCTGAGAGAATGTCTGAGCAAGGGGACCTGAGTCAGGCCATAGTGGAGGAAGCAGGGGCCGAGCAGGAAACGACCACTCCGGAGAATGGCATCGTCAAGTCGGAGAGCCTGGACGAAGAGGAGAAGCTGGAACTGCAGGTAAACTGCAGGAAAACTTTCCCAGAGCGTTGCGTACAGCTCCTTCTTTTCATTTTTAGACAACTTTGAAGGTGTGTGTTCTTCCCTTTTTAAGAGGAGTTTGATTAGTAGAATGACTAGGAAATCAATAAAACAAATCTCCTCCTTTCCTAATTATTAGTCACTTGCTTTTTTTCTGACAAAATTGTGCTCAAAAATGATCTTTGAAATGAAAACTACCCAAAGAACGTGTTTAATGACTGACTTTGCACACAGCGTCTCCATACTAATTTCAAGGCCACCTGAGGAGTTTGTGGAAGGCTTCTCCCGAGGCAGCTATAGGCGAGCTCAGTTTTAAAAATGGATTTGCTATTCTGTGGGAAGATGAAGCCTCTGATCATGATAGACTAGGAAAAATCAAAGACAGGAGCTCTGCGGACCTTCAACAGGCAGGCTGAGGTTTGGTTCTTATCAGCAAACAAACCTAAGGACTAGACTTCCCAGCCAGAGATGGGGGAGGACCTGTAGGAGGGTGACCTGGAAGTGACTGAATGTGATTGACGATACTGAAAAAGTGACATGATTAAATACATCGTGAGTTATGAGGGAGAAAAAAAGTCTTAGTAGAGGAAAAACAAACTGCACTTGCAAATAGCTTGTATGGATTTTCTTTGAACGAAACTACAAAAGTGTTAACTCTTTTTATTTACCAGTGAGCAAAGGCAGATAACCACATAATAACCCAAAGCCTTCAAGGTCAGCTTTTCTGCTCTCTAATAGCTACTAAAGGAGAGGGAGCTAAAAGTTAAAAGTTCAGTGGTCAAACGTTTGGGAAACGGAGAAAGGAGAAGTCCTCCCGGAGTTTAGGATGCCTTTGTTGCTGGTACTGCTGATTTTTCTACTACAGTGACACATTTTGCTTCTCTCTCTCTCCCCCTCTCTCCGCATTCATTTTCTGTTTGTTTTATTTTGCTTTATTTTCTTTCTAATATACAGAGGCGGCTGGCGGCTCAGAACCAAGAGAGAAGAAAATCAAAGGTAGGGTTTTGGAGATTCTACGTAGGTAGACCAGATATCCTGGATAGCAATTGCATATTTTACACCTGAGTTCAAAGACTGGCCAACAACTCAGAGGGCTGTGTGGACATACTGTGGTAGATTTGGGCTGTACTGGTGTTGCCCCCTTTGAATGGGGTCATGTTCGAGTCTCCCTTCCTTTCTGGGTGCTTTCTCATGAGAGCATTAGGGTCCCCAAAGCTGCAGATGGACGTATCGATCCCCTGTTCACACGGGCAGGTTTGACAGGGCTTTACTAAGCAAACGGCTGCTTGTTCTGTTGTTATTGTAAGTAACATTTGGGGTGAATGTTTTTGTCCCCCAGTGGATTCCCCCCCCGGAAGCAAACAAGGATGGCGTTTAGGACAGTCTTCATCTTTTTCAAGCATCTTCTCTGGGAAGTCGCTTCCACACTCTGTTTTAGTAGCCATTCCTTTCCACCACCTTTTTCTTCTTGCATTTTCATGCAACGGCAACAATCCATTCCTTGCAAGTCTCCAGTGTGGTGGGCGTGGATTGCTGACAGTCTTCTTCTCTCCATCCCTTCACTCCCCTCTCCTGTGTCGCCATCAGCACAGGGGTCTGATGCTTTGAGCCCACGTAGAGAGCACTGAGCAGCTGGCCTGAAGCTCAGTTTTAGGATCTGCTTTGAGATGGTCATGGGAAGGTGGAGATGATTTTATGGCCTGAGAACGTTCTCTGTTTGTTTTCTTTATTTTCCTCTCCTCCCCTCTTCTTCGCCCTTCCCAGTCAGGAGCGGGTAAAGGTAAACTGACTCGCAGTCTCGCTGTCTGTGAAGAATCCTCAGCCAGACCCGGAGGGGAAAGTCTCCAGGATCAGGTATACCCCCTGTTACTATGGTTACGTGCACGCGCGGGACCCAACTTTGTGTGCATGGGTGTTCACTTGGCGTTAGACAGTGTTTTGGGGGAGAAGACACATAACTGAAGAAAGAGATCGCTTTCTGGCGTCATCCCCTGCTTACGAGACGGTTTAAACTGGTATCACGGTTTGTCACCGAGTATTACGTTTGCTTTTTTCCAGACCCTCTGAAAACTGCAAATGGAAAGGAATGCAAAAGAATTTAGATTAAAAAGTTAAAAAGTAAGCCCGGTAGTGCTGAATTTCCTCAAAGGCTCTCTTGATAAGACTGAACCAAATATAGACCTAGGTGTCCCATCTCTTTCCTATGGGAGATCTTACCTCTCTCCTCCCCGAAATGCATTTGCCTCTGCGAAACATAACCCCGGGCTATAATCAAACTTCAGAAATAGTGACAAAGGGGCATTGAGCTTTGGAGAAATACTTTTACGGCCTTTAGTGGAGATGTCTCATTAACTGGAAAAATTATTCAGAAATGAATCTGAGCTGAAGGTGAACTTAAGTTAATATTGTTAATATATTGCTGCATATTTTTACAGTTATTGTTGCTAATGTACAGCGAGACTATTAGCCTTGAAACATTCAAATTCCACCAAAACTCTTTTGTGACAAAAATGGGAAACTTCACATTATATTTATTTTTGTTTGCCTTGTGGGCATCATATTCGCTTCCATTAAAATCGTCTTGCTGCTGCTATTTCCCTTATTTTATCCGAGGCTGAGAGCAGTCAAGACAAAAAAGTAAAATGATGTATCTGAGCCCAGGGGAGGGAAAATTGATTTAAGATATCATTATTTTTGTTTGGTCTTGTTTTGCTTTTCTCTTTGTACTTTAATTGAAATACTCGAAATTCTCCTCATGGATACGGAGAACATTGAGAGCACTTTCTTTAGAAGGACCAAAAAGAAATTCCTTATAGATTTTGTCCTAAGAGTATTTCCCCCCCAACCTCATTTTCTCCACATGCTACCCCTGTCCGCCAGGCTCGGGCAGGCTAGCTTTCGGTTGCCATCACCATAGTTCATCCACAAGCTTTATTTGACTTGGGTTCTGAGAAATGTGTGGCTTTTCTTCAGCATTTTATTTGTGCTTCTATTTTTAATGGAGATGGAAAAGGGGGAACCATGTGACTATCACGGCTTGTATTTTTCAATGTTGATTGATGGCTTGTAATGTACTGCACACGCTATGTGTTAACTCTGCAGAAGGACAGACTCTGGGAGAAGGAATGGCCCAGTTGTCCCCTCCTCAATGCAGGGCAGAGGAGCACAGCCTTTAGAGATGTAATCTGATTTTTATCCCATTTGGCAAGGTCCCAGGAGGACATTTTTTAAGAGATCGTCTGTATCATAGTGCCCATCCTGGACTTAAGTCTAGTTTCTCCATACAATTGGTGCAGAGAAATAAGATGTAAACGGTGCTTTGTTCCTGATGGTTCCAAGCTCAGTCGCCAAGACTAGCTTCGTAGGAGAGAATTAGAACTTGCAAGCTTCTCTTTGGACTGGCTGAGGGGTGGTGGGAGCAGGGGGCTGCTAGCCAATACCCAGACACACATGTAAGCAAGTGGCCATGCTAGTCTTTTAGAGAATAATGAAGCAGCCCTTTGAGCTTATATGCAATGCCTTCATTAGCTACCACCGGCACTTACAAAGTGTGGGATCTGAATCCCAGAGAACACTGGCAGACGTATACAGCGTATGGATCGTATTGCTTCCCCAATGTTTGTATATTCACAGTATTTGAAAAACTGCCTTCATTTTCCTGTGTGGGAAAAACTCTTGCTACCTGTATTACTTGATCTCAGACCCGTAGCTGATGGTTCAGTCTGTCCTTCAGTTAATGGAGTTTTGCTTTTCTAATGTTATACTCTTTATCAGTGTATTACTGCAACTTGAATCATTCTTTTACTGTTGTTAGACATAAACTTACCCTGTACCAATGTATTTATTAACACTTGTATTTTATTATTGAGTATATCAATAAAAATATTAAAAAATAACAGATTGTTTTTTACCAACTCTATAGCACTTTTGTGTGTTCTTTCAACACCATGATGTAGATTTATGTGTAGAACAGATAGGTATTTTTCTGTGTATAGTATTGTTTCACACATGGCATGAGTTTGTCTTTTTTTTTTTGAAAAATAATGTCCATTGGCCTCTGCTCTTACATTTATATTTCTAAGCCTCTTTGATTTTAGATTGAAATTTATAGAGGCTGGATGGTTCCATCAGTTTTGAAGAAGCAATGAGACCATTTTAATGGCCTGGTACCCTCAGTTTCCCTACCTGATCAACTGTCAAATTGGTTCTTTCCCGCCCCCCCGCCCCCATCTTATGAACCAGAAATGGTCCAGCTGCTCTCTTAGTGAGTAGAAACAAACTATGACCCTAAAACCTGCCTGAAGCTTTGCAGACTAAGCCATTTCTGTCCCAAATCAAGTGATGAAAGACCCTACCATCAAATTACACTCCGTTTGACATATTTTGTATATGTTCATCTCCAGGATAAATATGTGACTGTCAGAAAATCAGCTAAGATAAATTTGTGTCACGAGAACGTATTTTATTTCATCTTCTATATCACACGACTTTCCAATGATGGGGACTTTTTGTTCCAGCCATGAATTCACAATAGAGCCCCTCCTGAAAAAGAAACTTGGCTTTGGAGGACTTTGACTTAATGCTTGTTAGATTAGAGAAGTTAACCAGAAAGCATTTCGAATCCCAGATTGGCCATAATTTGAGGATATACAGCCATCAATTTAGTCACATGTAGATGAACACTACTTCAGTTTTCAGTGAAAAACACTATTAGTCATTGGTGGTACTCTTTCCCCTACATCATAAATTTTAATGTCACTAGTGAAAGGAAGCTTTCCCATCAAATGAGCTCTTACATAAGAACACGTGGGCTTAATGTTGGCTAATTTGTCATAGTTTTAATCATAGCATAGGCTTTTTCATCAAACTAAAAAACAATTTGGCTCATTCTTCTTCAAAACAGTGAACATACTATCAAACAAACGGCTGATAGACGAGTTAATACAAAACAATTCCTTTTCGGTGCAAAATAAATAAATATAAAAGTGGATTCAGCCCAAATGCTGTAAATGAATGGTCCATCTTATACTAAGCACCAGTCCAAGAGAACCTTACATTTTGGAAAGGATTACCTGCTACTAAAATTAAAATAATATTAAATATTTATATATAATCAATGGAAAATCTATTGTCTACCCTTTCTAAAAGGCAATTCTTATTGTAACTATGTATTATGACGACTTATTAAGGGCATTTGTAAATAATGTATGTATAACAGTATCCATACATAAAATTCCTGCAGTGATATAGCTTGTTTTTCCTTAGTAGTAAAAATCATGGATGCTATAGTTCTGAAGTAGACTTCTTATTGTACATGGGCTATTAGGGTCTTTATTTATGTCTGTTCTTTCTGTAATTATGATTCGTAACATCTGTCTGTTTGTATTTGTGCCAGTTTCTCCTTACAAGGACTTACAGAAAAGATCTGTAGAACCCTCTCTTTATTAACGACAAGGCGGCAGCTATGAGGCTTACTGATGAAGAATTTTTTTCTAGGTGTTTCAAAATAAACCCGTAGAGAAAATAAGAGTTGTGATCTACAGGACAGTGACTTGCTTAAGGTTAATACTCGTGAGGCAAAGTTTTAGTACTAGATGTTTCTCGTGACCTCCCACTGACTTCTGAACCTTCGTTCACCTTAAAGGGCAATTATTGTTCTGACAGGTTTAATTTTTTGCCATTTAAGAAAAAGAAAAAAAAAATCTGCACCTGGCTTTCATTTGCCTGTACTTAATAAGCTCTATGCAAAATGGAAACCAGGCAGAAATTCTTAAATCTGGCCCTAAATTATTATATTTTTTCCCCCAACAGGAATCAATTCATTTACAGCTTTCCAGTTTTCCCAGCCTGCAAGAGGATGATAAATCTAGGAAAGATGACTCTGAAAGAGACAAAGAAAAGGATAAAAACAAAGATAAAACCTCTGAAAAACCCAAGATCAGAATGTTGTCAAAAGGTGAATGTGAAAATGTTTTCTTAACTTACTCAATTTGGAAAAATGAAGTCACAGAATACATTCTAGGTTTTACATGCATATCCGCCTCCTGCTGAACTCTGCATTTGTGTGTGTGTGTGTGTGTGTGTGTGTGTGTGTGTGTGTGTAAAAGATGTGAACTTGATTTTTTTTTTTTCTGTTCATGATGTCATTATTTGTGTGCCAGAAAAGTTATTTTTAAGATTACATTTTGGGGATTTTCATTTGGATCTTCTATCATCAAAGATAAGTTTGTACAAGCAGTGAAAATAAATCTGTTCCAGATTTATTGGTCCCGTTCATTTGGATTGATGAACAGCAATGATTCCTGATTTTATATCTTAACTTTCATGTTTATCTTGAAGGACAGAGAGTGGATTAGCAATTCTCTGTCCATAAATAATGTCCTCCCCAAAGTCAATGTCAATGAAGTACACATTTGATGTTTTAGCTGGCACAGATGAATTTGGTCTGTAAAACCCATATACTGCCACATAATATCTCACTTAATATATACAGGCTTCTACTTCATTCAAGTTTTCCCAAAAGAGTCATTTCTTCTAAACCTACAAGCCTACAATCCAGACTTTTCAAATTGTTGCCATACATAGAACTGTACAAAACTAAAAGAAAAAAGTAAAAACAAAACCAAGTAAAATGAACAATGTCATGAATAACTACCTCTGCAGTAGATTTTTTAAAAATACAACTGAGAAAGAATAGAGCATTTGATCAGCTGAGAAATGACAACTATTTCTATTATTTTGCTCGTTAACCACCTATCTGCTTATAATAATTGTCTTTGCTGCTGAATGTCTAAAACCCAAGGTATATACAAGAGCAAAGAAGTACAGGTTCCTAAAGTGGTTCTAGAAATTAAGCTTTAGCTAGCATCAGAAGATTTGAAAGACTTGGAAGTATTAGTATCTTCGTGCATTTTGTATTGATTAATATTTAGATAGTCTTAGAGCTTTCATTTTCTTTGCCTTCTCTGTTTTAAAAGTAAGAGTGTTCCATGGGGTCTCCAACTCCAGAGCTTTCTCTGTGGGTTGAGAGTATCTGTCATATGGTGGTCGTGCCCTTGCTGATTCAAAGCACAGAATGAATATGTGATATTTGACTCCACCCACCACCCATCCAGACTGTGTCTACTTTCCCTCCTATGATGGGTGGGTCTTTCCATGCCCAGGATCTGTTGAGTATACTCAGTCCCTGAATCTAGTTTTCATTCTCCTGTTATCCTGCCATATTTCTCATTTTGACGTATGCATCTTTCATACCAATAGCTTCACCTAAAATGTACATGAGCCAGAGGGAAATGGGAAAGGTTGGGAGCACCCCATCCCCACCAACCACCACCATCATTCCTGACAATGCTGTTCCTTTCAGATTGCAGCCAGGAGTACACGGATTCTACAGGCATAGACTTACATGAGTTTCTGATTAACACGTTGAAGAATAATTCCAGGTAAATTCCCAAATCTCTTGTTTTTAGAAACGTTGAGTGGAATATTATAATCAAAGTCATTGATCCAAATACTTCTGAGAAGGAAGTTGTATAGACACTGTCCCTGATAAGTTAAACTCTCTCTTGTATTTTCCCTTTTCTGTTAATAGTTTATATGTTTACTATTGCTAGATGATAGATGGTCTTAATTCCTGGGTGAATAAGTTATAGTTTACAAATTCTGTTTTCCTTGTCACAAAGAGATACCGGTTAAGGAGGAAAATAGAGGGAAAAAACCCTGATATCAAATAAACCAATTATGCTTCAATGCATTTGTATAACCATCTGCTTGAGCTTTGCTTTGTTCTAGTTTCCAATTCATTTAAAATATACAATTTATTTGAGGTGTTTTATGGGCCTAATACTTTTCCTATCATAATTGACATTAAAACTGCATTAGTCTCAATATTACAAAATACTTAACCAGTGAGATGAGAAATAATTTTAGGTAGAATGAAACCATGTGTATTGGATGGCATATTCCAGGGAAAAAAGTTAGATACAGGTCTGTAGCCACATACATTAAAGCAACCTTTTCCATACATCCAAGTGAACTTTGGAAGTCTTTGGCAATGGAAAGTACATAAACAACCTTTTCATTTTCGCATTGATTTTGCAGGGACAGGATGATACTCTTGAAAATGGAGCAGGAAATTATGGATTTCATTGGCGACAACAAGTATGTTACATCGAGACGCTGGTTAATGTGTATGATGTGTCTTCCTTGGGTCTTTGGGTTTAATTATTCATTCCGGAAAGATTTAGGGGTAGATAAAACATGTAATATGTTTGCGGATGTGTTCAATGGAGAGTCTATGGGAGCTCTATGCGAATGGGAAGTGTTGCTTGGACCACGTGTGCTCCTGCTTGTTAAATTCCTGACAAAACGGCCATAAACAGGGGGCCCCTGATTAGCATAGAGGAACTGTAACAAGAAGCGAACCTTTTCATTTTTATTATAGTTTTTTAATGGGCTCCAGCTGGCTGCAGTCAGTTATGCCTGGAAATAATTGCCCCTCTGTCAGTGAAAACCGTGGAATGACGCATCTCCAGATAGGCATCTGCATGCACCTATTATATCACATCATTTGTCCTGTGCCAGGTTCTGTGGATAAGGTATTACGCACTAAAATAGAATCCTTTCCAACAGTCATTACGTTCTCTTTGGTGAGAGAAATGGGTGACGGTGAATCAAGGATATTTACTGTAGCTTAATCAATACATCTATAATGAGTGGGAAATTTGTCCCCAAAGGGGAATGTGACATGCTGCCAGGGATGAAGTGGTGGTGTATTCTGTGTGTGTATCTGTCAAATGGACTTGGGGCCAGAAGCAAAAATGCTGATTGCGCTTTTCTGGGTACTCTCTTTCAGTAATCACTACAAAAAGTTCCCTCAGATGTCATCCTATCAGAGGATGCTCGTCCATCGTGTGGCAGCTTACTTCGGGTTGGATCATAATGTGGATCAAACAGGGAAGTCTGTTATCATCAACAAGACCAGCAGCACAAGAATGTAAGCCCATCTTGGCATTTATTTAGCATTTTCTTTTTCTCTGATGGATTCATTTGTTAAAAAAAAAAAAAAAAAAAGCACGGGATAAAATTCAAAGTACATGACATTTAAAATGTGCAGTGTTGTTTATCTCTTGTTCTTATCAGCACTGGTGTGGCATGTATCTGTAGAAGATTATCCGAGGACCAGGTAACTTGATAAAATTCAGGCAGTCATGTGGGTTTATTCCCTGATCTGTAACAGAAACACAACTTTCTTTACTTCCATCACTACTCCATGTGATTATAAACAAAACCATGAAACTTATCTTATGTCAAAAGGTAACTCAAGATAAAAGTAACAGGCATTTTAAAACAACAATGACAGGTGCGGGATAATTGTCCTTGTCTTTCTTTTTCTCATTTGTAGACGTCTATCTGATTGTGGCTTCTAACATAACAAAAGGCAGAAAAGCTGGAGACAGAAACCCTGCCTCTAAGACTCAGTTCCTTACTTACTGGCTGTGTGACTTGAACCAAGTCATTTAAAATCTACCATCTCAGTTTTTGTCACTTGTAAAATGAGAGCATTGAGGTAGATGATATCTGAAGTTTGAGCTCTAAAAAAAGGATGGTTGGTTTTTGGTCCTTAAACAAAAGTGTGTGCTTGAATCTCATTATCTTTTCGTGGCCCCACGAAGTCACCAAAAACATAAGATGAACAGTTATTTGCTTTGGGAATTTGGAGCTTTGCTCTTGAAACTAGGTCTTTTTTGAGTACAGAGCAATGCACTTTTATAAGCAAAATACATAGTAAATTGAAAAACCGTCCTAAGGAAAGCATTCGCTTTAAAACATGGATGTGTTATAATTTCATTTTTTTACAGTGTGCTTGGTAAACTGTGTAAATTGCATAGACTTCAGGAATGTCACCGAAGTGAACTCTTGGGTCAAGCGAAGCAGCATGGTTAGAGCACTTCATTTTCTGCTCAGCTGACTTGGGGACAGGTAGGGATGGAGATGAGGCCCCTTCTCTACTCGAGGCCCTGTCTGTGTTCGGCAGAGCTAGAGTGAAGGTCACAGTGGAGAAACCAACCTGGGAGATCTGGAACCAAGCTGGGCTATTATCTCAGGTGCACTGAGCACTTCATTTCTCTGGGCTTCAAATTACTTATTTATCTGCAGGAGAGTTTGAAGTGGATCATGTTTAAGAGCCCTTGAAGCTTCAGAATTATTGGGTCTTGGGGTTGTGTTCCACTTTGCTGGCAAAATACATTTGAACATTCATCCGCGTTCCACTTTGTCTGACTGTTGGCACGTGTGCCTCCCATTTTGAACAGTCGTCGAAAGGGAAAGGTCACTGTCTCCATCCTCTACATCTCCCCTCTCCATCAATTACTCCCAGTCCCTGCTATCGCGGTTGTTCATTCCCCGTTCTGGTTTCTCTGGGACTTTCAGATTCCACAAGTCAGGGAATCTGATTGCAACATAGGCAAGGAAGTAACTATTTTCCTTTGCATTTGTTTCTCTCCTCTTTCTCTATGAGACCATGACAAGAAAACCGATAGGTCATCTAGACTGATACAGTCTCAATGAGTACAGAAAGTCATTTATTTTGTCTGCGGCCATACCATCCTGAATGTGCCCAATTTTGTCAGATAATCATTTATTTTTTTAAAGCACGCTGATTTTGCCATCACGTAGTCATGAACATCAGTACCCATGGCTGAGCCCCATTCTCTGGTCGCATTGACTGCTTTCTGGTGGATAATGAATGGGGTGTTTGAGTTGATGCTTGCCATGTTGTGTTTTTTAACCTTTAGTTATAGCTTTCTTTCCCCAGTATATTGCCAGAAGTAGGTTCCACTCTCTAGCACTTTTACATGCTTTCTGTTGGAATTCTTTGTTAAATGTCAGGTTGGGGGTCTACCCCAGATGAGCCTCCTGGAAATCTGGGGCAGGGGTATTAAGCTCTGTGCTATTTTGATACCACAAATGATGTTTATAACACATATCCTCTCTATAACATTGCTTTTTTTAATCAAGATTGAGGCTAAAAATGTAAACAGTGATTTTATAAACAATATTTAAATGCTACAAATATTAGAGCCTGGTTTTTTTAAAATATTTTTTTCTTTCTTTCTTTCTTTTTAAGAGAGAGGGAGAAAGAGATTGAAACATCGATGAGAGAGAACATCAACTGGCTGCCTCCTGCATGTCCCCAACTGGTGATCGGGCCCACAACCTGGGCATGTGCCCTGACCAGGAATCGAACGGGCAACCTCCTGGTGCCTGGGTCAACACTCAGCCACTGAGCCACACTGGCCGGGCGAGAGCCTGATTTTATATGTGAAGTTTTGCCCTTCTCCTTGTCTCTCTATACTTTCTCTTGCTTATTTTTCTATGCTTTTAGCCCAGAGCAACTCATTGGTCCTTTATTAGATCATTTTTTTTCACCTCCCTCTTCTTTTCTTCATTCTAGACCAGGAATTCATGTTCAGGGTGTATCGTTGGGAGACTAGAAACCATCTACTAGCACTAGTTTTTCCCAAAGGGCCAACATCAGTCAAGGGCAAAACCCATATGCATCTGGATGTTTTTGCATATGTCAGATTCACAGTTTAACTAGTCCCCGCCAATTTTCATATTAAAAGGTTGTCATCTCTTGAATATTTTTTTTCTTTTGTCTTTCCCATCACCCACTGTCATTGCCTTAAAACCCCTACTCTAAAAGTATACAGCAAAGAAAGCAAACAGCAAATCCATCGGAGAGTGCTCACCGGTCCCAGACACCATGGAACAAGAACAGTGGCCCAAAGGCAGAGGTTTAGGGTGGCAAACAAAAGAGTCCAGTGCTCAGGAACTCAATGTCCTGATTCCTGAGAAGCATGGACCTAGGTATTTGCCTGGAGTGACGAGTGGTATCAGTGACTTTGGTACTTTGCTTGTTTGTTTGTTCCAGAACGAAAAATTAACGGAGCTGGCTGTGAGGTGAATCACAGGACCCACTGACTTGTTCTAGTCCTAAATAAAGCTTCTCTCTAGGTAAAAGCAGCTAAGCCCAGTTGCCTTTGTTAAGAATCTTAACAAAGAATCTTAACAAAGCATCTGTTAAGATCACTATTGCACTAGAAGGTAGACTTGTGGGATCTTCTACCTTCTCGGTGGGCAGACCGAGAGAGGAGTGGACAGCAGTCCATCCAAGTCAATGGACATCTGTTCTGTTTGATTTCCTGAAGAGGCTGAGGTTTAAAATGCGAATCAGTGGTTTTTGAACCTTAGGCATTTCAATCCTTGCAGGTGATCAATTGCATTTATACCAAAACACACAACAACAGAGAAAAAACATACTTTGCTCCCACATTTGTTATATGTCTTTACCTTTGGCTGGGAAGGTGAGTAGCACCATGAATAAACTGAGCAGCATCCTGATACGGACGCCTGCTTGACAGGCCTCTGAGGAAGACCGGGTGGGTCCCTCTTGGACATCCATGAGTGGCTGTTGGCACCCTGTCATTTCTGAGCATTGTAAATGTACTCTGCACTTTTTATAGGAGAAGCATTGACAATCATCTGACTTGACGTCAAAGATTAGAAACCTAATTAAGAATTGCATTGCTGTCAGGAAAACCAATGAAGTTTTACTACTTGAAAAACCTAGTATTTTTATCAATACTCAGGCTCAAAGTAAGACTTATATGTTAACATTGGTCCAACTCCATATCATTTCTCTCAAATATTATATTTTCTAACATTATTATTCTCAAATACCTCAGGAGCCATAGGCTGTATAAATGAGATAGGTAAATCACAGAGATACATGTAAGGGGAGAAAATAAGTTTGTTGTATTTCTTTCCCCACTTGAAATTATTTATGAGCCTTTGAGCAGCAGATGTGTAATTTACCACTTAATTTTGGAAATGAAATAAGCACCTGCCTTCTATAACATTAGTATTCTTAATATAACTTTTTTTAAAGTTTTCCCATGGAGTAATGATATACTTTTAAAATTTCTTTTTATTTTTTTGTCTTACAATATTCTAGGCAGATAAATCTGAACCATTTTACAGGAGCAAAAACTGAGATTCATGTGTTAATCTTTCTTCCCTACTCAATTCACAGAAGATCAAGACTGAAATCCATTGCTCCTGGCCCTCAGTCAGGACTCTTCTCCTAAGATTAGGAAAATAAGAACGAATCTTAATAGAATCAATGCTCTGAAATGATGATAAAAGCAAGAAGAACCCCACACACTTCTTTCGCTGGTACCTATTAATTTCCTTACAACATCCTAATTTGCATTTGATTACTTTAAACATTGAACAGAGAACTCAATTCAACAATGTTTATACCAAGATGAATATTAAAACTATGAAACCAACAAAACTTCAGAACCACAGAACCCACAGGATTAAAAAGTGGCCTAGCATATTTGAAAGTGGGACAAAACCCATGTTCTTAAACCTTGTTAAGGCAAAAAGTACTTCTTGGGTATTCAGTATGAGGCTGTCAACAAAAGAAGTATAGACTATTTAACATGCCCATCTTCTGTTTATAGTTTATTTGAGGAGTCAACATAATTTTGGTCAGGACTCAGTGTGCGTGTAAGTGTGGAAATACATTATCTATGCCATACAGTTTGGGACAGTTCAGAGAAAGGTTCACTGTCTATATACCTGCTACATTTGTATTGTCCTATCAGGGGTGGGGAACGTCCGGCCTGCGGGCCATATAAGGTCCACAAAATCAATACCAGCTAACATCACATGCTTCACCAAATTAGCCTGACCAAATATAGCAGGCTAATTTTGAAGCTGATAATTTTGTATGGCCCATGAATGATGTTATCAATATCGAATGGCCCTTGGCAGAGAAAAGGTTGTGCACCCCTGGCTGTGCTTGAGTAGGCAACAGAATGAACCTCAGATCCTGAGCACTTTCATTATGGCTTCTCGGTCATAGAAGTTGGCCATCGTTTCAGCATATGTACCTTGAGAAAAATTTTAGGGCATTCTTGTAGA